GCGCGAGCGATTCTGTAATGCGCCGCCAAGTGATCGGTCCTAATTGGCGACGGCTGGATCGTCAATCGCCGGAATAATGTAGAGTCTCGTACTTTAATCATTTACGAGCACTTCGGCGAAAGCCTAACGACGCTGGAAGCCGATAAGCGGAGAAGGGGAACGCGACTTTACAATGTCTTGCAGAAACACCGTATAACGTGTTCTCGTTAATGCTTCAATTAATGCGGCAATCGGTGCTGATAAGTTAATTCGACGTCGCTCGAAGTTGTGGAAGAAAATTGCCGGTGAGTGTGGAAAGTTTGGAGTCATCATATTCGACAAAAATACGTTTCTCTTATTATAATTTCATGTTGTTTTAAGAACTAATTTTTGTATCTTTTTTTTAGCATAATTTACACGACACAAATAATTCAGAGTACTTAGAAGCAAATTAATTTACTCGCAAATCTATCGTCACAATATTTTATCTAAATCGCTTCTCTTGCGGGAAAAACAGGACTTTCCGATTGAAAAGAAAAAGTATTTGAGTTTTTGCCTTGAAAAATAGGTCTTGCAGATGTCCGGTGAAAATTGGATGTACGGTGACACTAATTTAGTGGATTTATCGCTGTCGATTTCGATCGGGATGAGAATCGGAACTGCGACGTCGCGTTTCCGCGGAAAAAGGAAATGACGCTGCTCGTATATCGATTTGACAATTACTATCCGCGACATATGGCAGTGTGTGACTTTTAAACGCACGTGCGATATTTCGTCTCGTCGATAATTGATCGCGCTATTCTAATTGCTATACAGCGATAACAAATAGGTGCGCGCGCGAAGCCGAGAGACACTCGATAGATTATAACACTCGTGAATTTCTGATTGCATTAATTATGACCGCCCCCGCTCGCGCACAAACTGGTTAATCGATCGATCGGTATCAATAACACTCGTTGTTGCGCATTCCCACTGTTCACCCATGGCGTATTTAATCAAATTTCGCGATATCCTACCTCTCGAATTTAAAACTGTTCTTGCTAATTTTACTATGTGATAATTGCATCGACGAAAAGAATTAAATTATCAAATAAAATTCGCCATGGTTCGATTTAAAATAGACATTTGCTTTTACCACAAATATTTTTAAAGACAGCACTTAATTAATATGTTCAAAGCGCAAAACAATACTGTTATTAATAAACCAATTTAATAAAATAAAATCATGCAATTCGTAATAATAAAAATAGCTTTACTAGCTTTTTACAGCTAAATTAAGTGATCCGCCGCTTAATTACACTTTAGCCTTTTAAAGGATAGAAATGTTATATCTCCTATTTCGGCGAGTTATTCGAGAATCGATAGACATGTCCTCCCGAAATACTTTTCACGTGTCACCAGGCGTCCTAAGCCTCGAACGAGGGAACTTTTTCACTTTGCAGTACGCAGCCCGCCGCTTTTCCATTTTTGCTCTCACTTCTTCCCCTTCTCTCTCTCTTTCTTTTCTCAGCGGGAAACTTCGGCAGAACTTAGGCGATAACCGTCACCTCGAGTCCTCTCCGGCTTTTGCCGTATCGAGTCACTCATATTCCAAGAGAGGCAGAAGAATATCGGGCACCAACGAATTTCACGCCAGACGCCGGTCGACACTTTATTCCTTTTCCATCTTCTTTTTCGCTCTTAATCTCCGTTCCCCCGTCGAAGTTTCGTACGTCTACTATGGAGATATTACCTTTCTCATAGTAAATTCATAGTCCGCCGAGTTATAATAATGCCGTCCTGTCCAGCGATACCGAACGACATTACGAAAAGTTTTGTGACAGTTGAGATGGAAAAAAGGTTCCAGTAACCGCGATGTTATTAGAAGAAAGAGTATGATAGGACAGGGGGCGATGAGAGGGGAGAATGGAAAGAGAATGGTACAAAATTTATTCCTCTTTCCAAGAGTGAGGTAAGGCGAGGAAGATGGAAACGGCACTGAACCTGCTTCCCGTTTTTCTTCCGCCTCTCGCCCTTTTCCGTTTTCATTTTCCTGCGACACTCGAGCTTCACCCGGTCGGAGAAATTGCCTCTCGAAGCAAATTCACGTTGCTTCGACTTATAATAATTTCGCGCCGACGTGTCGCGTCATTGTCACCGAACGATTCGTCTCACGGCGAAAATTTCTCTCGAAACACGAAAAGGTATTGTTATAATGACGAGCAAAAAAAAAAAAAGAATCAAAACGACACGAGGAACAAAATACGGCACAAAACTCAATATCACCTACGATATATTAACAGTAAATCTCCAACTGCTATATATTAACCATATATTAACAGTAAATGTTCGACTTTTAAAAGAATATGAATGTTATCTGAAATTTCAGTGCTTCCGGAGTTTTAATTAACTTTTTACGGTAAATTTAATTTCTCAGGATTGCTCTCCGTTTCGTAACGAGGATCTTTTGTGTTATTTCGTGTTATTTCGTCGATGGTGAGCTCCCTTTTCTTCTCGATCTCTAAATTCGGAATGTAAATTTCACCCATAATCACGCCGTAAAAGAGCCACGCGCTAAGAAAAGAAGAGCAAAAGAAAAACGACGCTTTATATTTAGAGGAATGTGTATGTTTGCAAAAACTGGGATGTATATGTATGCACACACACATTACGAGAAATACGATAAATTCTTACGTGTGAATAAATTTCTACACCAACACGGGCGCAATCGCCACTTGAGACATGTACAATGTTCTCAGCTATGAAATCGCTCGGAATATAACCGAAAATATTTCCCTTCCATTTCTACACGCGCTTTAACACGTCCCTGGCGTGCGTGGGAGTTTAGAAATACATTTCAACTCACTTATTCTGAGGGAGGGGAGCTCGGGTCCATCACACCACTATGGATATTTCTCCGCGTTTTTTTCTTTTAACTTTAACGTCAGTGCCAATGAATAAGTTCTCCATTTCTCCAAGTGGATCCTGCTTTATGTAAGCATATCAGTTTTTCTCGTGTTTGAATTATCACACGAATATATCTCTGTCACTTCAGCCAATTGCGATTCGCAATATTTCAATTCACACATACTTACTTACGTTGTATCTTGAGATATCTGTTGCCTTGAATATGTACGACATTGTCATATATTATTTTAGTTATGCTTCTAATTATGTTTTTCATATCAAATACAATTACAAAACTTAATTGAATTAAAATAGAGAACCTGCTCATGCTTTAATTTCACCGGATAATTTCTCAAGACATTATTGCGATTATCGTTAATTGTATAAATAGATTTCCTACAATCTTCCATTTTTAAAAACCATTTTTCAGCATTTTCACTGAAGTATTTTCTTCTAATTTTTAAATGAATTATTTTTCCATCGCAATTCTATCGAAAATTACTTTAATTTGTACAATCTTTCGTTGTAAGATCAAGCATAGTAAGATTAAAACGTAGTTATAGAATAAATCGTAATTTATACGTCGCCTTCTGAATTTTCAACGACTGAATTTCACAGCCACGTGCTAGCCAATTGAAACTCAAAGAACTCAGTCGCGATGTCGTAACTCGTTGGATGCGGCCAGTATATTGTCGCGATGTGGCGTACCACGCATTCTCATACAATGGAGAACAATTTTCAGGGGTGAACGTTCCAGTTCTTGTCAATGGTAAAACCGTCCGTGGCACGCGAATCGATGGACATAACTGCGTCGGAGTTCGCTAAATCGAAATTCCATCCTTCCACGGGTCATACTCGCGAGGGATCGTCCTAGAAAGCGGAAGTGTCCACCGTTTCAACTCCGCAATTTTGTCGATAAATAAAAACCGGTTGAACGCAATCATTCTCGTCCCGTGATTCATTCGTGTAACTTGCAATTTTCTCGTACCATCAAATTTAATTGAAAAAAGTACTATTTCTGTTACGGCCGCGTTTTTGTGGAAACAACGTTATAGAAAAGATATTAAACAGTCAGAAATAAATTTTGTTATCGGCCCAGGGCGATTTTATTGTTCTGAAAAAAAATTTTCTAATTAAAAGTTCATTAGATAAAATCCCATGCGTAATGGAAAGTTAATATTTTGTTGGAAAACTGGAAAATTAATCTATTAACAATACGTTTTTCAATTCTACACAAATTCCGCGCCATTCTCAACAATGGCATGTTCATTTCTTTAATAGATCCTTTGAACGCATTTTTGCGTGGTTTTATTGTAAGACGTATAATTTTATCACGGCGCTGACTATTATATGAATTATAATTATATAAATTTGTTATCTCCATTATATTAAAAAATATATACATTTAATTAAGAAAGATACGAAGTGATCAGAATCTTCATTATTGCAATTATTATTACATTTCTATAGTTGATATTGTATCACTAATTTCCGAGCTGGCTCGAAAATCACTAGTTAATATTTAAGCATCAACATTGTTACGCGTACGCGAATTTGCATGTAAGCTTGCAAGTACACACCGTGGATTGTTTATCTTTAACGAGATACCTATCATTCTAGCCGCTCTCGATCCCGACTCGGATTCGAGGCCGAGGCGAAACGAATTTCGGGCGGAGCTGAACCCTCCGGGACGGAGTGGTCGGTTTGTTCCGAGATTATCGAGAAAACATCGCCGATAAAACGGCAAGGAGGTACCACTCCCGCGAGATTTTCGTCAACAATTCCGCCGAGATACAGTTGCGAAACTCACCCCGGCTTACAATCGATTGTACATGTCGAAAACATCCTTCTCCTTTTTTTTTTTTTGTCTCCTATTTCCATTGCGCTCAAATCACGATGTAGAAATAAATTCTCGTTTACATTTAGCGGAGTACTGTCGACGCGGTTCAGCTCCGGTCGATTTCTCTTCGTCGACGATCGCCGACGCGATCACCAGGCGGAAAAGGCGAGCGGCCGTCGATCGACGGTCGCGTCCACCTCGACCGAGGGTGACGCGACCGTCGGCGTCGCTCGCGAGCGGACGCGACGAATGAGAAAACGGATCATTGAGCACAGGTGGGCTACAACTGTTTCAGGAGTGACCATCTTGCTATCGCTGACGGTGTTCCTGAACCTCGTCGCCGAGACCCTGCCCCAGGTCTCCGACGCAATACCCCTGTTAGGTACAATTGAGTTTTTACACAGAGCGAATGTCAGACTGTAAACCATTGTATATTATCGATATTCGCTGCGACGTTCACAAATCAATCGGGAAATCGAGAACGGATCTTTGAAAAGTTCGTGGAAGTTCAATGAGATCTTCGGAAGGTTTTCGTATGTCGATAATTTAAAAAGAGCGAGTATCTTTTTTTATTTTTTTACGAATGTGCATTTTTTACGAAAGATAAAAAATACACATTCCATTTACTAAAAAATGGATCGCAACAATTTAAGACGCAGGATAACCGAGAATTACTATCCGTCTCTTCTCAATTTTTCAGGGTTTATAAATAATTCTCCTCCGTTAAATAAACATAATGTCGTTTCTATAGACGTCAACAATATTGTGATACCATTATTTATTTATATTAAAATGTTGGGAGACGGTAATTCCAAATTTTGATCTTTATTTTCCACTTGTCGCCATGAGCGACTGAGAATTTTCGGTTGACAAATATATACGCATTATTTATAATATTAGGAGAAGCACTTTGATCCTCCCGAAGATCTCGTATAACGTAAACAAGAGAGACGTGGCGCCCTGCAGCTGAAACGGAAGCGCTCTCACGTATGAGGGAGAATTGAAAATCATGGAATATTCGAGAGGCGGTGGAAGAGGAGACTCGTTGTTCTACGTCGATTTATCCGATAAAGTTATATTATCGAGAAGCGTATCGGTAAACAAACATTCGCCGCAGTCGTTTGCTTCTTAAATTGCAGTGGCGAAGAAAGATGAAAAAAGAAATAACAATAGTTCTAGAAAATTCGATAGTTCTCGAGAAACTGGACCATACGATTCGTGGATATAAAACCAAGTTCTAGTTTTAGAATGCTGATAAATATGTAATCGTGAAAAACCATTGTCTTCCGATAACTTGAATAAGATCGTCGAGATGAATAAAATAAATTTAATAATTAGTGCAAATTAAAATTTTAAAAATTTATAATGCTATTACTTATTCAAATATAACAAGTTATACCATTTCTCAATAATTATTATTGCATAAATTCATATAAATTTAAATATCATATCTATTTACGATATTATCGGAAGATATTACGAAATATGTACATCTCAAATCAATCAAAAGATTTCTTATCTCGCGGCAATCGCCAGTCACAGCTTTTCGCGTGTCGTGAAAATTCTACGAGATTCGGAAAGTCGTAACAATTGACACGAAGATGTCGATCTACGAAGTTTGCGAGAAATAAAAAGAAATGTCAAGTGTCGCGTCGAGGAGACGCCTTCGGAGAAGCGAGGGAATAGATAAGAAATAAGGAAAGAGCCGAGTTGTTATTGCCAAAAACGAAAGTCGATTCGACGGAAGAAGAGAAAGGCGATGGAAATAGAGTTATTGCCTTCTCGATGCGCCTCGGAAGTTCCTTGCACTAACTTCGATCAGCTTTAATTGAATAAGTTTTGCATCGCAACGGTTGAGAAGCGCAACGTTGCATTCGGCATACTTGATCGAATAACCCTGACATTTTGCTTTTGTTATATGTACCGTCTTTATTTTACACTATTTTCTCCAAACAAGACAATTTCTACTAAAATTTGTTCGTGTGTTCTCAACAAATAATGTTTAAACGTCGGTTTCAATTTATTATAATAATTATATTATCTGTTTTATATTCGTGAAAAATTGCTCAAAAATATTAATAAATATCTTTAATTATTTATGATACTCGCATTTCCCAGTATTATATTCGCGTGTTTCATATGTTTTCCGATATAAATGATAATTTTACATTTGGAAATATATCCTTGCGACCGAACAAAATCACACGTTCAAGTCACGGGCAGCTCATTGGAGAGTAGTATGTCATTGTCCACCGCGAGAGCCGATCGTAGCTGTCGACTCGTAGTTTCTCTCGCCTCCGCGTCCCGCGGTCCATTCTCTTTTTTCGGTATTTGCGCGCGCCATCCATTTTGCGCGGTTGACGCCTCGACGGTTTTATCGAGCCGCGCTGATCGAAGTAAATTAAAACGCGTCAATCGCCCTTTACCATTACAGGTCCGTTGTCAGCGTTGCGACTTCATAATCGGTAGTGCACTCTTACCCTCGCGCGGCGCGTTGCATCGATATGGTAATATGAAAGCTGTCGAAAGAGTTGACCGCAATTTTCTCGGCAACATTGATGCGAGCAGGCGGGCGAGCGAGAGAAAAAAAACCGACGCGTTCTTTGCATCTGGCGACTTGCGAAATTAATTAGCAGCTCACCAAAGAGAAGTGCCGTTTCGCGTTTGTGCAGTTGCTGAAAAAGAAGCGGCATTCTCGGAAAAAGACGGTTGCTAGGAATTAATATCTGTCTGCCGTTCGTGAGAAAAACGACACGCTCGGACTGGCGTTCATCGATTTCCGTGACGCGCTTTTGCATCCGGCGTCGTTATGTCGAACTCGTCGCGAGGCAAGAAATCCGATGCGCCCTCGTGTAACAACGCGAGACAGCATTGTTTAGAACATCTTTTTGTAGCTCGCCACTCGTGCTTTACACGCGATTGTACATTTTGACCCTTAAAACATTTTTTAAATTTCCGCTAGACATTAGCGAGCACTCTGCGCACTCGAAAAATATTTTAATATCGCAACTCTATGCTTTTTCATCTGGATTTTACGCAATTTATTTTTCACCTTAAGAGAAATATCGAAGCACCAAGCTTAATGAAGCAAATAAATAAGAGAAAAGTATATCCTCTCTTTCTTCGTTTTAATTCCAGATAACTTTTACTTTAACATAATTTTAATAAAGGAAAATCGGGTCAAAGTAAATTTTCATTAAGGAAAATCAGTGCAAAATTGCTAAAAGAATCCGCAGTTCCCTCGCGCTATATGTTCAATTCTTTTTCTTCGTTAGATCCATTTTTCTTTGTTAAATTGTATTTTTTCGCGAATGTATCTCAATGCTTGCGGGTGTCGCACGCGCATATGAAACTCATATTCAAAGGACATTTTTTCCCAGTAGTTTAAATATTCCTTCTGCTATTATACGGCAAAGGCTACTCTCAGTGAGGAGAGTACGTCAGCTAAAACGTGCGCGCGAACTGGCCGACATGATGACGGGGTGCTATACGCGTTCGTAAAGTGCCTGCTAATTAACAATGTTCGATGCAAAGCAAGTTCGAAACGTATATGGCGCGTTATCGTTTTGCTGCACATGGTCACTCGATTACTATGCTTACCTCGAGGACGGCGTAAAGCAGCGCGAGCGAATGCATGATCGATTCGCGTGGAAATCGAGGGCCTCCCCGCCAACGTCGACGTTGGAAATTAAATGCGGGCGAAGTGTAAACAGTAAAAAGGGACAGTTAACTCGACCCGAATCTTTCTATTCGAGATCGCGCATTCATTTCATCATCGAATATTTGTTCGCGTTTATTTTACCATAATTTCTCCTTGCGCAACAACCGTGATTTTGTACGCTGTACGCAAATTGTAAACAAACCTCCGGATGAATTATTTATATTAATGATTGAGCCGCATATTGCGCTGCCTGCAAGTTTTATTTATTGATAAAAAAATTATGAAAAATAAGACAAAATTAATGAGATATAAATAATAAGAAAATACAGCAAACAAAAATAAATATTGTGATAACAGTAAAACAGTATCGCGCGCAGAGTTCAATTAATCAATGACGCGTGACATCGGTAACGTAATTAGAAGTAAACAATAGCAGCAAGAATAAATTTCGCCTTTTGCAAATTAAACGCGCACTTCACGCGGCAAAGCTACGGCCTATTCTTTATACGGTCTATTCTTCTCAAAAGGATGTAAAAAGGGAGGAAGAAAATTCGGAATACGCCGGCGTACGTTTCACCTCGCTTCTCTGCTCCTTGCGTAGACACATTCATATTTCCTCATTTCCCCCCGCGTAACATCGCTCCGGGCCCGTTTTACTATGTCTAATCTAGCAAGATGCACCGCACACCACTGCGTCGCTTACCAGCAACGTCGCGTTCTTCCCACGCTACCGCCGCGAGACGCGCGCCGCGACAATCTCTCATGCCGTCGGCGCCCGACACTATATCTTGCGTATCTCCATTTATAAACGCGAAAACGCAGAGTTCCCCATCATCCCGTTCGCACCATCATTTCGTATGCCACTTACACTTTACGTCGCAGACACGAATCTCAACTTAGCGCCGGCTTGCGAATGCGAAGTCACCCACCGACGCACACTATCGAACATTTTGAGATTTTCCCACCGGCGTAGTGTCGCATACGGAGCCGAGTGTGTCTTCGACGGTTCAAGCTGGAAGCTTGACAGCGCAACGGAAATAGAATTTAATGGGAGATGTAAGCTTATCACTTTTTTTCGAGAGGGTCCAATCTTTATGTCGCCGAAGAGGGACGTCCATTTTGGTGGCATCATTTTCGCATTTTTTTCTGGGTAAATATTTAATGAGTTTCGACGTGAGCAGCGAGAGCTCTATGTAAAAAAGCGAGTCGACAGAGCAAATGAGTTTTCTCTTCCACCACGTAATGACCGCGCAACTCTCGTGTAATGCAAACTATATATGTATATATATGTATATACGTCGATACGTTGTAACGTGAGATTCACCTCCGGGAATTAGCAACAGGACGAAACTCCCGAGATCGTCCCGCGAACAAAATACGGCTTCACGTTCGAAGTCCGAGCGAAAACTCTTCGGAAACGCGAAAACGCGAAATGCGAGAAACTTGTGCGAATGTAATGGCACGAATGAGGATGGTTGGGCGTGTATGTGTGCGTAAACGATGCATAGCTTTATTTCTTTACTTCGCTTCGAGTTCTCCGAGCGGAAAAACGCGCACCCGTATTTCCTCCACGGCGGAGATATAACTCCGATTTTCGCGATCTTCCGCCTCACCGATCGCTTCGAGACGATCCCCATCTCCGTTTCGGAAAGTTTCGAACGTGTTAAGTGCCAGGGAAATATCACCCTGCAATATCGGTTAATGTACATATTGTTACCTTGATCCTTTAATTATACATTTGCGATCAGATATCATTTCTAGGAATTCCAAATTTTTCTTTATTTTGGTCACATTTGATCAATCATATTATGACACGATAATGGCAAAAACACATTTAGCTTCAAACTCACTTTTAAATCGGCAAATAAAAGTGAAATTTCAAAATCTCAAGGCGACGCTGAACATATATCGAAGTTTTCGATAAATAATTTGATAATCCGAGATTAAAGAGTAAGTCGGATGAAAGTTAAAAACCCGTGGCTCAGAGCATAGTGATTGGAGGTAAAGTAAAAAGCGCTTCCCGGTGATCGGGAGAGTTACTAGAGCAAGGCGAACTAGAAATGAATCAACGAGCGAGTGTTCAATCTAAAATCCAATTCACCCTCAAGTCCTACATATACACCGTTATTGCACGACACATGGACAGACAGAAGATTTATTATTTCTGGCGGTCTTCAGATCTTCAAATTTAAAATGAATCTTCTGTCTGAGTAACCAGCCATACGGAAATTGTAGCATTAACTCGATCAAATAAGTAAAAATGGGTCAAAGTTTTTATTGTGAGATTCGTTTTTCAGTTTCATTCATCTGTCATAACAGACAAACAGTTCTATTATCTCATTGTCAGATAATCTATTTCAAGCTTACACATCAAGTCTTTCTTTGAAATACTTAAACGTTTTTAGCGTTATAAAGAGAACTGTTTAACTCGGCACCAAGCGTTCGAAACCTTCCGGCTTTAATTGGCCTGGCTTTTCCGCACCTCCAAATGAATCCGACGATACTGTTTATAACCGCGTGTTGCGTTCCGCGTCTCCTTTCAGAAACGAAGGAGTAAGACGAGATCTTGTTTTCGTCGGAGCACGCTCGACCTGTTTCGCGATTATCCTTGACGCTCGTGAGCAGTTACTTCATGGACCAAAACGACGACGTTCCTCGCTGTTTTCAACATCCGAAACAATTTAATATTAGCGAGTGAAATCAGAGTGGGACTGAAACGCATCGTTGGGTATTATTTCACAGCATATGAAAGATCAAGGATTATCTCCGATTACAATAAAACCTTCTATAATTTCACCGAACGCAAATTTTCATTTCATAAATAATACTGTAATTTTATACATTATTTATGAACGAAATAACATGAGAGTCGATCTATTCGTTCTCTCTCTCTCTCGTTATATAAACAGACCGTGTAAGCTCTTATCATCATTCAAACAGGAAAACATTAATTGCTGTAAAAAGTATTTAGCTAGAAACTTTGTAAACAAAAATTTTCACGAAGCTAAACACTTTGAGTGGTTATAAATTTTGCGAGAGGCAGCAAACTACGGTACACAAAATAAAGTTTATCGCGCTTTCCGCTACAATAATAAACGCGAGCAATGTTTGCAGCTCATGTATAGATAGACAAGCCGCTACTTTTTCGCGACGCGTCAATCTCTGCAAAGTGCATGCAACCAGGTCGCCCCGGCTCGGTTTTCAATATCGGCTCGGCGCAAGACAACAGCCCTCTTGTCTGTTGCCCCCCCGCCCCCCTCTCTTACCACCGAACGGCGCGCCTCGTGTGTTTCTCCGAGCAAGCCGAATAATTCACCTTACGTGCAATTGATTTTCCAATAAACCACCGATGACATGACACAAACACGTGCGCGCACGACGGAATGCAGCAAACAGTGTCGCAGGCCATAGAGACAAACGTAGAATATCTGAGAAAAGTCTCATTTCGCGTGGGCAATGCACCCGACACACGCATATCCTCGCACACATCCACATGTATCGAATGCATACGGGGTGCTCTGAAAAAGTTTGTCATTTCGACTGTACCTACTTCAGATAATCGCCATGTAAGCAATTATATATTATAATAGATCAGCTACTTAAAAATTCGACAATTTGTAAAAATATTATCACGGTATAAATAATCAACACAATTAAAATTAATTTTTTGCATACATTACGAAATGCATACAATATGCCTTTGTCAAAGATAACATAACAAACGAGAATGTGAAAAATTTCAAAAATTGATAGAACAATATCTCTATGCTTCTCTCATTATACTTTACTTGTTCTATAAATTTTTGAAATTTCTTACATTCTCGTTTGTTGCTTATCAGTTATGGGTGAAAAGTAAATATTTATCTCGTTAAGATGCTGATTAGCGAGTATCCATAATTTTCAAGGCTCTCGTTACGTCCGCAATCTCGTCGCGAAATTAAATCTCGTCTGAGAAAGAGCCGCTTTGAGCTTTATGTAACGTCCCGTCCGCAGACTTACGGAGCACTCTGTATACTTTCGCGAATGAACGAGATCCTTACACGTGCACAGCGCCGTAACTGGCGTCGTAGTTTTCACGGCATATTGCCGCGGTATGTGTTACTTTTACCTCAAAATAAAATTCGCCGATTACCCTTGCCTTGTTCGCGATGCCAGCGATAATAGTTCGGTTAAATAAGGGAGCTTTGTATTAAATTGTTGGGACAACATTGCGCGCTGGCTTTCTGAACGTCGCAAGAGCGAAAGCGGACGCTTTCTGGCACACGGCAAAAAGGCTAATCGCGATTTGCATAAAAGCTTTAGCTATGGCACTGCGCGCAAAGACGCTTGTAGAAAGGGTAGAGAGAAACACATACCTGTGACGAGGGAAAACTTGAATCTTGTTGGCTGTTGGCTGTTCCTGAGTAAGCGATACGCCGCGCTTTCGTTCGCCGACGCTCGTCACGTTCAAACGGTTTCGCACCAAGTCGAGTCGTCGGAAAGCTTCTCCACCTCTCTGCGCCACTTGGTTTCATCAGGCAACCTGGGGTCAATTGCAGCAAACGAAAATTTTGAAGCACTCGTCAGAAAACTATATCGATATTCTACAAAAAGAACTTATTTCGTGTTTATTGCAAAAGATATCGTTTCACGGTGTTTCTTTAGCATTTAAGTAATCGTAAACTCTCTGATTGAGCTCAGATTTTCACAAACCAATAACATATTCCTTGCATTTTCTCATTTTTCGCGGAAACACTTTCTGAGATACCGAACATTTGCTTTCAGTAGTTTTAAATAAGCGCTGAGCGTAGAACGTTATGAATAATATAAAAATTTACTGCGATGCTTTGACGTCGGAGTTTTATATCTGTTTTCGACTGTTGCGTTATGAAAATTGAATTTTCAGACGAAAACTGCCAATCTACCGTGGCTTCTTTGCTAGTAAACTTCGGTTGTATTCCCGTCCGGAAAGAGAACAAGCCGACATTAAGAGAACAAATTTCAACGTTTTACGTTCGGCGGTCGGAGAGCCGAACGTACAGCGAAAAGGAATGTAGCGCTCGTTGCAACTGACGTGAGAATTTGGTTTAACAGATTGGTAAATTAAGAGGGCGTATCTTGAAAAATTAGTACAGCGAATAAGAGTTTTGCTTGCTTCGCGAAGAATTCTGCGAATTTCTTTAAAATCGTTCGCGGTTATATAGGCCAACTATGAAGAAATTTCATGTTGCTTTTTGACACGCTAATCGACTAGCTGAAATAATAGCAATATAGCTAATTTTTTAAATAGGAAAATCATGAATAGAACTGATTAAACATGCTTTTTGCTTTTCTCTCGTCTCACAAACGAGAATCACTTTAGCGCAAAAGGCACAGAGCATCGAATGAGGATTCTGAGCTTACCCGATCTCGTTATAACGCGCCGAAAAGGTCGATCGTGCTCCGAAACTTGTGGAGATATCGCCACTGCGATACGCGAACATCAATAACAAAGAATGAGGAACGAGGACGAAGCCAGGTCGCTAACCCTGACGAACGACGTTTGTTTGCTCTGCCACAACGTCTTTGGTTTCCTTTCCTACGTTTCCACGGCTGCCGCTTCGCTATTATTTTTTAATATCTTCGAATTGCGTATCTATATATATATATTTTTTACACACATATATCTCTATATATATATTCATATTATATATATTATATATAAATATCTTTCTACACATATATACTCACATATACGCTGTTCTTCCCTTCGTTCTGTCCTTCGCTTCATACCTATATATTTCTACATGTTAAGCAGCACAATATCAGTAACAGAGATCTACACACGTACAATCACGCACGCACGTATCATATACTCGTTGGCAAACTAAATATTTCAATTACTTATTCACCGAAAAAAGCAAAGCAATAATCACGATTCACCAGCGATACGTCGAAAGTGATGTCTCATCCAAATTCTGATCGCAAGGATAAGCAAGTGTTTCGTCAATTGTTCTCGAGCAACGCACAGAAGGCGGTTGGACCAGTGGAAGAGTATCTTTGCACCGCAATGAAAGACAATTTACGTAAAAGTATCTTGTTAAAATTTTCGTTTTACATACTGTAAGGTTGCATGTTACATATTCTTTAGCTATCATATGATTGCGAAATTTTTCTTTGCTGCGATGCAAAGTTACGAATCCAGCCACTGCGATCTGATATTTATATCGACAATGTCTGATCGATGAGGAGACGTGTATCGGGGCGGTAGACATTTTTGCATTCGCGAAGGATTCGGAGAAACGCGAACGTTATTTCACGGTCGATCCTCGCACTACGGGAAACTTCAGCCGTAATGCGTCATTGTCGTGTAACGAGGCGCGCTCCTGGAAACGCAACGGTTGTACATCACTGCCGCGGTAACATCAAGTTAAAAAGCACCCTCATTATTTGCCGCGAACAATGGCGGCCCGTACAAATGGCGGCTGTACGTATACGCATAACGACGCGACGATTCCCGGCGTTCCAGCGACAGTCCAGCGACGAGTGACATTTTTTAGTTGCCGACATGCAGAATGACAACTGAATCGTCTGCTTCTCAGAAGACGATCGGATAACAATATCAAAACCGGAAATAAATTTTCGCAATCCCTTTTTTTTCTTATTCAACCCTTAAAACCGCGGAAACTAAAATAATGATATAAACATTTTAAGTATCAATATCGAATTAATAAGTAATAACGCAAAAAGTATAAATATCAACAGTAGCGTTTTAGTAGTTGATGATGAAAGTTATGAGGCAAGCAAGTTGTAATCATTGTCGCATAATGAAATACCGACTGCTGAACCTTGCAAATATTATTTGAACAAAAATGCGTGAGCCTTGCGTTAATTGTGCATTGCGTACCTCTTTGCTTGCGACATGTATTACAATCTCAGAATTTTGCTGTAACATGGAAAATTATTTTTCCGAGGGAATTCTTATTATTGACGCGAACGGCTTGTTTTCGTTCACCCTGTACGCTGGTACGATCACTCTGTTCTCGCCCTTGTATTGCTATTATTAATTAACGTTACTGCCACCTGTCATGCCACAAAGTTCATATCTCACGATGCGCATTTCCGTTGCAATTAATTATCTCGAATGCGGGCTGAGTATCACGAGCAGAGTACGAAGGTTCACGCTTCTCGTTTGACTCTCTCGTAATTTTGCGGAGCTGCTTTCGTTGTTTTGGTAGTTGCGACATGAAAGCTCTCCCCCCTTCGTATGTAGCTAAAAAATGTCACACCCCCCCCCTGCCCCCCTGTATGCCTCGATAGTATCTCGCATTCTCCTTTCTTTTCCACGGTAGTTAGCACGACGAATGAAGTCCATAGTCTCTCCGGAAAAACGTTGCAAGCGAAAATATATAAATGCGACATCTCGCACGGAGAAACGTTGCTATGCGATAAAGATGATGACACATTAAGCACCTCTCTGTAGCAATGGGAGCAACGATTGTGATGGTTCACATTTTCAAGAATAACCGATTACACTTAATTAAATTAGCACCGAGTTGAACAAGTTGTATGTCGCTATTTGCAAGCTGTGGCAACGTTTTTTCACTCGAGTTTCGTAATTCATATATTTGTAGCGTTTTGCTGGAGAGCTGTTCAAGAAGAGACAACGATGATATATATTTTTTCAAAGCCTTCGTAATGTGATCGCGTGACGAATCGCCACGGATTGATTTCATCGCCTCAAGTTACTTCGGCAGGAGGATACTTTCCTCACGCGAGCCCAGCCAACCGCAGTCTCTGCGATCTCCGCGTGTGGCGGTCGACGAGACGGTAACGAACCGAGCCGATTAACGGCAGCTTCCCGTTGCGCGCGGTTAAAGCGGAACGATCTGACCGACGCGAATTGTCGGCTTAACAACGGCTATTCGTTGCAAGGGCAAGTGCATTTAAGTGTAATTTTCTCGGTTAGAGTTCGCGGCATTTCGTCGGCGTAAATGCGCGTCGTTTATTATGTGCTCCCGCCGCGACACTCACGGAGATCTTGTCTTTCCGAAAGTGCCAGTGTCGCGCACGAAGAGGCGCGACGCTTTTAAACATTATGTCAATTGCTTTATGCACTCCGAATATGACGAATTTTTGTTTATTTTAACTTTGTTTTGCTTTTTCAAAATAAATTTCAAAAATTTTTTGCATACAAAGATGACATATCAATATAATTATTCAAATAAATGTTCAAATTTCTGAATCCATTAATATTGCGGGATAATGATATTTAAGTAAAATATTAAAAGTTTCTTTGACTTTTTTTACTGTTCAATTTTACAGTATTACATTTCTAATTTTTTAAATTTCGGCTTTTTCCACACACTCGAAAGAATTCTTTAGTCTTTTAACCTTAAGTAAAGAACCTTGAAATTACGTCAAAAACAAGTTCTCCCTTTAGCGCGCACAACATTGCGAATAAGAAATCGTAGTAGAGCTTTCATTCGGTAGATGACATAGTGAAACACGACTCGGTCTTCTTTGACTCGATGATCTTGCACGCGAAGCACATACGGTTTTCTCGTTAACTAACGGATTTAGTGCCGTCTGCGAAATAACTGGAAACCTATCCAATTACTCGAAAAACGTCCTACATGTTATCGAAGAAAAACGAGAGCGTAGTTGCACAAAGTCAAAATAATTCTTTTTTTTTTCGTTTACGTAATGCAATTAAAAATATCGATTTTCGTCGGACTCACATTTCCGAAACTTAACTATGAGTTCTGCGCAAATCGCCCGAAAATACCGCAGAGTTATTAATTTTCTAAAAAAAACAAAAAGAAAGCGGAAATGTGTCGGTTTGAGGTAAGTACTATTATGATCAGCTTCTCAGTTACGTCATCGAGATAATCTTAATATAGAAACAAAAGTCTCTACGCAACGAAACAAAATAGAGGAAAATGTGAAAAATATTAGAAAATTATCACATTTTTTTATTGTTAAATTTTGATAAAAAAAAGATTATTCAATTTTTTTTCACTATTAATATAATGAAAAGTTTTCACCAAAATACTTCTATTGGCTGTCTTTTTTCATACTTTTCTGATATTTTCTTGCATTTTTCTCAACCGTGTACAATAAGCGATGTGTACAACAGACGTCAAGGACGCATTATGTCGCTGAAGAATCTTCGTGTTTAAGCTCGTGAAGTCGCACATTACTGTGCGAAGATTCCGCGAGGATCGAAGAGAGAAAGTGCCGTGGAGAGAGGAAGGAGCGGGAGACAGGAGGAAATTGAGAGGAATTAAACATCGTCCTTTCCGAGAGACCCGGCGCTTTTAGAGCAGTCGGGTAGGATAACGTCGCGACGCTAAAAGGAATTGAATTTGACGGAACACCTCGTTGCACTTGCCCCCATTTCCGTGGCCTCTGATAATCGCGATGAAGACAAGCCGTTGTTCCAGTTAGATCGACGGCGCCCGTCAACTTGAATTTCCGACGAGCACGGCGAGGAGAATCGACGAGCCGTTTTGCGTGTCTTTCCGGCAAACTCGATTTCCGATTCGTCAAATACCTGGGATG